AATTGTATTTGAGAAACATTAATAAAGAGAAACCTTTGCCCTATAATTTCAGAAGTTAATTCATAAATCAAATTAAACTATCAAACTCGTAACCCTATTGTGTAATATTAAACCTTTAAACTATCTAATACGTGATCTACGTAAAATAATCGTTATACATATTTGTACCCATTTTTGTCTACGATAGAAGCTAAATCAGATCAATCGAACTAAGCTCTCCCACTCGACCGTAACACCGCGTAGATCAGTCATAAAATTAAGAATTTTATAATTTAGATAAAACATCCAAATTAAGCAAAATTATAGCAATGCGCACTATTTTTTATATAAGTTCTTATAAGTTCTTATTCCCACCAGGCTCTTAAATACAAATAGTATTTGGTTCAAGACAACACCGTTTGAAACAACTATTAACGAAAAGGTTTGTTTGGTTTTGGAAAAATGAATAATGAAAAGAGAATTGAAACCGAAAAAAAAACAAAAAAAATTATTTAAATATTTATTAATCTAAGTTGATATCATTTGATTCGAATTAAAAAAATATCATTTTAAATATTTGATTCAAGCTGATGTCATTTGATTCGAATAAAAAAAATCATTTAAATATTTTATTAATTCAACTTTATGCGGGTTGATGCGGATAATTTCAGATTCAGGTATTTGTCCAGGTTATCCGAACTAAATTGATCCTTTCGGAGCACTAATTACATGACAAACATATCGAGCACCAAAAAGTCATTTAACTTCAAACAAAAAATTTATAGACTAAAAAATAATAACGATAAGCAATAAATTAATCATTTTATTATTTCAAAAATAAACGTAATATTTATTACAGTCAGAAAGTATTATTATTACGATTTTTCTAAGTATTTTGGAACATTCCATCGCCTTTTAAAATGATTGTGGCAGCTGATGCTGAACCTCTATTTAAATCTACAATACCTATTAAAATTCATTTATACTTTTTTATTAATAAAACTACCCCTAAACCCTAACCTAACCCTAAAAAAAAACCCTAACAAAAGGCCCCAAAAAAATTTATAATTTAATATTAAATATATTCTACGAATATTGGTAGTTTCTTCACTAAGCAGCAAGGTCACGTTTGCTATATTAAAATATTTAAAATCTCAGCATCAGCCGATTTCAGCATCAGCTGCCACAATGATTATAATCCTCCTCCAATTTATACAATGGCTCAAAATTTTTATTATCGATCCATTTTTACTATTTGGATTAATCATGTTTTCTTCAATAATTTTTTTTGTTGCATTCTGGATTCAGAATTATAAAACTTATTGCTCAAATAAATAATCAGAGTTATAGTCTTCCGAAGAGCATTCAAAATAAAATCCATAAGTTTTTCCGGTATGATTGCATTTTCTTGATTAGTTTTTATAATTTTATTTCTTTTTTCATTTATCATTAGTGGAAATTTGGTTACGGTGAACGATATGCATTTTTAGAATATTGTATTATTGGATTTTTTTTTTTATGTTTTTAAAGATTGCAACGATCGTTTACGTTTTGAAGAATCAAAGAAAACAAAATCATTTATTAAATCAATTAATACTTTATTAAATATCATCATTATCCTAATTGACAATACCATATGATTTTCAAGAGTGGCGATTTTACCCCGGTCGCTACGGCCGGCTATCGGCTAGCCGCCTAAGCCGCTGCTATAACCTTAATGACAAAATAATTATACATGTTAGTACAGTATAGTTTAATTAATACTTAATTCGGCATGAAACCATATCAGCGGATCTGACAAATAGAGGAACCCATTATTCATAATCCTGGTTAAATTTACAGATCATTTGGCCAGATCTAGAACAAACAATTTTAATTTTGGTCAAATGATCTGCACTTGATGCGGATCGTGTTTTGACAAAGCATTTCAGCATTTGTGGATCTGCATCAAGTACAGATCATTTGACCAGAATTAAAATTGTTTGTTCTATATCTGGCCAAATGGTCTGAAAATTTGACCAGAATTATGAATGGGTTTTTCTATCAATCAGATCCGCCAATGTGTTACGTATCTTGCCAAACTAATTATTATCTTTATCAACCAGAACGTTAAAAATCTGGCATCGGCTACAATTTTAGCTGACCGGCTAATATCGGCTACGGCTAATAGCCGACTATAGCCGTAGCCGTTCCCATCCCTATTACAGTCAAAATTAGCAGTAATATGAAGGCTTGGTTACTTTAGGTGGAGCAAAGTTACTGAAATAAAAATCTTGATCGACTATTAACAATAGTTTCACTTAAAATATCAGTAAGACAAATTCACATCAATTAAAGATCAAAATAACGGTAAGGGAGGTGTTGTCTCTATTAGGCTTTTTGACGATGTTATTTATACAATTTTTTCACCCTTGTTAAACTTAATTCGCTTCTTAGAACACATATATTCGCGGCTACTTGAGATGTAGCTATTTGCCGCTAATTTGCTTGTCATCTTGATTATAGCGTTAATTTCGAATTTTGTGTATTATATACGTACGTACGCAAGCGGATGGTTTTTGATGCCTGATCTGGTCATTTATTGGCCGAATAAAAACCTTGGGAGAACATGTTTGGCTATTAATACGTAATAAATCACTAAATTATTATCCTATACGTAATGTGGCTGTTGATTAAAAACCTTCCTGAAAAGGATTAATTTCTTTGATATTATTAATTCCCATAAAATATTAAAATGGATAAGGATTTTTGGGATGCAAATGTAAAAAAAGTATCGGTATGGCTAAACATATTGCGATTATAGGTGCAGGTAAACAAGACATTTACAAAATTTAAAGGAATTTTGATATTCTTGAAATAAGAAATTTAATACATAATATTTATATTAGGGATCTCAGGCTTAACAGCAATAAAACAATGTTTAGATAATGATTTGATTCCAATTTGTTTTGAACAAAATTCTTTTATCGGTGGAATATGGAAATATGAAGATGTTTGTGAAAAAAACAATGATGCTTATTCTTCAATTTATAAAAATGTTATAACCAATACATCTAAGGAAATGGTTAGTATTGATTTAATATTTTTAGATGCGTCAAGTTGAATTTATAAATAATCTATTTATTAAACCTGAAAAATAGACGACATATTCTAATTTTCCAATTCCAGCACTGGCCAACTTATCTAAAACGTTCTCTAGTAGAAAGGTTAATCCTTTTCAATAAATTTATGTTATTATTATTATTATTATTATTATTATTATTATTATTATTATTATTATTATTATTATTATTATTATTATTATTA